TCGCACCGACCATCTCGAAAAGAGGAGACAGCCCTTTGCAGACTGCGAATTGGACATTGTGAGTTCTCGCACTCCTACCTACTAAGAGGACTTGATCCTCCGACCTGCGAGAATTGCAATGTCCAAAGGACAGTAAAACACATTATTCAAGAATGCCCTACATTTGATCCTATAAGGAGAAAGTTAGACATGGCACAGAGTCTGAAAGAAAATCTACAAGACCATGAAAATGCCGTTAAAAAAACTTTAAAGTTCTTAAAAATGATAAAATTCTACAACAGAGTTTAATTCAAAGGTGTTGCCAATGACCCTACAGGGTAGAGGCAACAAAAAAAAAAATCAAATAAATAAATAAATTTTCGTATATACGAGAAAAAACACGAAAAAAAAGTTACAAAAAATAGCAAAAAAAATTAGGCATAACTCAAAAATTATACATTTCATTATAAATTTAATATACCGTTAATTGGTTTATTGAAACATGTCACTAGTGCGTTTTTGATGGAGCTCAACTTTTATGAATTTCGAAGTCATTTCAGTCCTAAAAACTTTTTCAGCCAACGTTTAAATTGAATCATTAATAACATAGCATTTTAAATTTTATATAATGATTTAGGATCTAGCTATTTGTTTCTTTCTGAAGATCTACCGATGGTTTCCACACCTGTTTAGACATCATTGATGGATTAAACAATTATATTTATAAAATAAAAGTGCCTCCTTCTGAAATTCCAGAAGCTTATTCGAATGATAAATTATTTATCTTTAAAGCTAAAATTTAAATTATATATGAGTTTTAAATAAAAATAAAATACCAATAAACTAATTTGAGTGTAGATATATCAAACACCTTTTAAGCTTAAATTAGCACCCGAAAAAAGAACCCACATAGTAGTAAGCATTTGTTTTCCTCTCAGTATTTAGATAAATTCAAACGTGATTCATATTTTGTAAAGCTATAATACTTGGTATGCATACTTTGTTTCTAAATAAAATAATCTTAATAAATATATTCTTATTGCAGTGATGTGTTTTGAAGAGGAGTGCTGTGTTCTCGTGCAGTATTACTTTGCCTATCATATATAGGACAAAGACAGGTTCCGAATCTCTTGGGCAAATGTAAATATGGTATTTAGTTATAAATTAATTTCCTTTCATATATTACTTTAATATATTTTTATTTTTATATTCAGCTTTCATTTATTTGTGAATCTCAGATATTATTCTACTTTTATCATCATACTCCATTTATTGGAACTTTTATTATTATTATTCTATATTTGTTTGTTCATTTTTATTTTATTTAATTTTTTTTTTTTACTCTGTTCTTAATTATTTAAGAACTTCTGTTTATTGTATGTATGTATTATATGCATGGGTACTTATTTCTGTTCACGTATTGTATTATTATTCAGTATCAATAATAAAAAAATCAATAAATATGTATTTTTTTAAATTGAGAAATTATAAGTGGTTGCCAGAAATGGGTAGAAATGTCTTAATAGTGGACGCACTTTTTTACAGATAGCATCTGAAATATATTTCTAATTTAATTTTTTTTTCGTGGTTTAATTTTGTTTTAATTTCCGTAGACAATTTATCAATACCTCAATTTTAATAATTTTATCATTTTTCTGTGAATTAAATAAGTTGTTGAAAATAAAATAAATTAAAATTTTAGTAAAAAAATATAAAATTTTGAATTGAAAAATAAAAGTATGGAGGGCAATGACCAAGGCCTTCGGTCTTCTTCGTGGTTGCAGGAAACTGCTAACATGTAAGTGGAGGTTGGCTAAGTACAGTACATTGTGATGATGCAGAGTAAAGTAGTAAAGTTGACCAAATAAAGGAGATTGTTCTTCCATACATATCATTTTATTAATTATGTATGGTTGGTTGTTTGGTTATGTAGTAAAGGCGTAGAACCTGTTGGTCATCAACGCCGTTAATTAAAATTATGTATTATTATTTCTTTTGGTTATAAATATTAAGAATTGAATAAAATTAGAAAAATGTAAAATGCACGTTAAGCTTAAAAGTTGTTTATTGTTATTAAAGTTTAGTTATTTAAAGTTCGCACGTTAGGTAAAAAAGAAAAAAAAAATGGTAAAAGGAAAAAAGTGCTGCGTGAGAGGTTCAGATATTTTTCAAGATTCCTTCTTCGGAGAGAAAACAAATGATTTTGCCTAGGATTTTTTCATCATTTCCCAAAGCAGCCGGTGTATTCCCCATATTATTAATTATGTATGTTTTGTTATGTTAATAATGCTTTGTACCTAAATCTTACCTGTTTTCAGGTAAAATTCTAAATATTTCTAGCTTAAAATTACTTTTAACAAATAACTATATTTCGTAAGAGTTGTTGTTGATTATAAGTAAGATTTCATTCCACTTTTTTTTTTTTAAACATAACATATCGTCGATACAGATTATAATTATCGAATCTGAAAATTAAGTCTCTAATCTTGTTATCTATTTAACCCTAACAACGCGGATGTATTACTTTCCATACTAATTTTATGAATGTTTCAAGTTTTTTTATTCAATTTCGTAGATTAGATTTTTATTTATGAAATGTTTTTCATATTAGATCGTTTACTTTTAATTTTTGAATAGAATGTATTGAATTTTCAATAGAGACAGGTCGCCCACCTGGTCGCCCGCCTGGTTGCTCGGCTGGTCGCCTAAATTAATAGGGACCTTAACAATGGGCATCGGATCAGAAGCTCCACCACTGCCCTGAGGCAGACAGTAGCCGAAGAGGCAGCAGGTGCCGAGGGTCAGTACAGGATGGGGCCCCACTCCCCCGGTGGGTGTGACTCTATTACGCAATCTGATTGGCCAGCGGGCTCTAACTGCTCATTTGCCTGGCCCTGTCCAAGATAACCTTACACAAGACTTACATCACATTCTGGACCATTTTACATAACTATTGCAAAACTTCGCCTCTCTCATCCCCCCAGACCTTCTTACCCCCATTAAATTTTCATAATCGTTCAATTTCAGAACCCTCTCTTCAAGAGACTGGTTTTAGTGTTTACACCGCATGTTGCTACTGAACTATTTATTTTTCGACTGACATTTGATTTTCTTTTTGCTATACAAGTCTAGGTCCGATGGAGGAAATAATAATCATCAATAATTATTATCATTTCTTAGTTAAGTAATAAATTGTGATTTATTTATTTACGAAAAAAATTAATTTGATGCATTGTTTATGAAAATATTTTTGTAGTTGATTATTTTACTCTTGTTTGACAAATTGTTTGAAGAATTTTCATTTGTCCTTGAACCATAAAAGATCTTTAATTTTTGTTTATTCTTTTTTTCTATTGTATATATAGATATTTTCGCTTGTATTTATCTTTAAGTTATTTTATTTTTATTAATATTACATACTTTTTGATTATTATTTAGTTGTTATTTTTCTTCTGTAAATTTTATATTTTATATTTATATTCTGTGAATTTGTCCTTACCTCATTATAATTATTTTCCAAGTGGCAGAACATTATATTGCTCAAAAATTATTTTGTTGTTGACATTTTTATAGTTTTCAATTATTTTTCCTTTTACTTTATTGAGGTTACCAATAAATAATATATTAATATAGTAATTTGATAATAAAATATTTTGGGTTTGATTAATAATAGCAAGTGACTAGTACAAAAACTATCCATTGGTAATACTCCATATTTGGTAGTTATGAATAATTACAAGTAGAATAATCATCCGCCAAATGACATACCAATATAACTGCACTGGTATAATAATTCAGTACTCTTTTTGACCTATATACATTTGTGAATATTTCTTTTTTACCATGCAAAAGTAAGTATACATTTATTTCTTGGTTATTTAAACTATACCTAAATGATATACCTTTTTTTCCGTCTTTTAGCATGTATCATATTCAATATATTCGATGAATATATCTGTTCAATATATCATAACGGTACTTTTTTGGGAATATCTTTTAAATCAAATGTTATCAATCTGAATAATAATTGAATACAAATACTGTGATAATTAGTGGAAAGGTAAATATTATTTTAATAATGTAGAGATGGTTGACCGTAATATAATATAAGAATGAGTTGGTCGGGGGGTAGAGACAATTTAAAGAAAAAAATACTATTTTTTTTTTTAAATTGTATTTTTAATTGTTACTCGATTGTTTCGACCCACCTTGCAGGTCTTCATCAGGCGTGGGCGTCTTAATCACGCCCTGATAAAGACCTGCCAGGTTGGTCGAAACTTCGGTGTAACAATTAAAAATACTATTTAAAAAAAAATAGTATTTATTGTTTAGTAGTATTTATACCCCCCCCCTTGACCAACTCCTCAAAATATTATTTTAAATATGTTCTAAAATTATGACATTCAAACCATGAAGTATAATTATTTTAATAAATATTTTGTTTAAATACTTGAGCAAACGGTCTTAATTTATATATCTTAGAGAAATAATCATAAAAAACATATTGTCTTTCTTTAGAAATGTATTGGCAAAATTCAGAAATGAAAATCAATATAATATATAAACCTAACTACTTAATATAACATTCTAAATTTAGATGATTACAAACAGGAACTGAAAATTTATAACTTTGGTTATTTTCCATTTAATTTATTGATTTTTTTGTATTAATTTATTTATTCGATTTATTATAATAATTACTCTATTTATTTTTTTTTTTTATTTGATGTTTTGTTGCCTCTACCCTATAAGGTCATTGGCAACATCTTTGAATTACACTCTGTTGTAGAATTTTATATCTTTTAAAAACCTTAAAGATTTATTATAATAATTACTCTATTGATAACACCTATTAATTTCTATATAGTGGCATAGATGTAACGGAAATGTATAAATTTGTTATACTAGAATTATATTGTTGTTTTTTCTTATATTTTATTGTTTGATATTTTTAATTTACATTTTTAATTAATTACCAAATGTTGGTTTTATGGTACGTGCATGTAAAATACCAATTGATTACTCCATGTTTCATGTATTGAAGAAACTTATATCAATTGAAGGACCCTCCCACAGGGCCACTGTGTGAAAGATTATAATAATGGATGAGCATAAGGATAAATATGAAGAGACATCAGCAAAAATTAATTTATTAAAAAACATAAAAATTTCCATTTGATATTAAATAAATGAACATTAAAAAACAAATTACAAAATAATGGTAAAATATTCTTATCACATTTTAAATGTATATATACAAAAATAAAAAGAAATTAAAATTAGACCTAAATGAACTTTTCGGTTCGTAGAAAAATTCACATGTTATGTGAAAATAGACATAACATACTTTACCCGCTGCTGCCGTGCAGGGAAAAGAAAATTAAGCAAAAACAAAATACTAAAATTTAAACAAAAATGGTAACTATAAGATTTATTTTATAAAGTTAATACTTAATAATTCACCTCATTACATTTCGCCGTACAACTATTTGTGGAAATAAATAACTCTGAATAATTTAATAAAAAAATATTTAAACCTCTGTAAGGATATTTACACAAGTGAGTTAGTTTATCTGGGAAAATTAATTAGTTGTTAATTGAGATCGGTTTTTCGCGAATGGCACAATTAGAATTTATATTACTTACAATAGTTTACCTGTTGTGATATGATATTTATGGATGGATCATGTTCATGATATAAAATTACTAATCGTTACGTCGTTGTTTTTTTTTTTTAGCGAGGTAACTGAGCGAGGCATTCTTTTATCACGCAATTAGTTTCTTAAAATTTTAAATGGATAATAAGATGGTGTATAATATTTCAATGGAACAAAGAAGAATAAAATTAATATAAATTGTTAACGTTAAGTAAAAATTAATGCACGAATTGAATGGATCATTACTGTTTGACCTCATAGAAGCCGCAAGATGCATGACTTGTTACACAGCCAATTTTCCTAAAAATGCATCGATACGATGCTCTGCGGAAATCTCACAACCGTTTTATAATCAAAAATAAAATTTAATATAGAATAAAATGTATAATATTAATTGAAAAAAATTGCTTTAGTTCTTTTTTTTTTTTAGAAACATTCATAGGTGGCAATTTTTGTTTAAGCGGTTTAAAATTTTTGAAAAAAATTAAAATGACACAAGAAGCCTACATAATACTGAATTATAAAATAATAAAAATCCATGACAATGAATAAAAACTAGGATAATTAAATTAAAGAATTAGGCAAATAGAAGAATGGGTAGGAGGTTAAGGTACAGAAGTCGAGAGTGGACGCCGATCTTAAGCCTTTGTCAGTTTGGGCCTGGCCACTTCAGCCGCTGCGGAGTGATCCTTGTGCTGGACGGTGGCGTGGAATCCTGTCTCCCAGTCGGCCACGTAGTTCACGGTACGGACGGAACCGTCAGGTTCAACCAGGCTGTATTCTCCGCGGACGACGTCTCCGTCACGTTCTTCATACTGGTGCTTCTTGTCTCCAGTGTGTGGGTCATCAACTCCGTATTCGAAGGCGTACCTTGGATGAATATCCTAAGAAGAAAGGAATCGAATTATTATTTTTTTTTTAATTCCCATAATTTTAAATATCTTTTTTAATATGTAATAAATTACTTACAAAATTGTCTAAGTATTCCTGGTGTACGTTCTTTCCTCTGGCTACGGGTGCAGAGACGACTCTGGCAGCAGGTGCAGCGTATGTAGCTAATGCTGGAGCAGCAGGAGCGTATCGGACAGGCGCAGCAACAGATATGGCTGGTGCGACGTGGATAGGGGCAGTTGAGATAGCGGGGGCAGCGTGGATAGCAGCGGTTGAGATGGCTGGAGCGGCACTGTAAGTTGCGACGGCTGGGGCTGCTGCGTAGCCGGAAGAATATCCTCGAGAAATACCACTATTAGTAGAATAACCTGATGCATGTCCGGCACCGGCGGAATAGGAGCTGGATACAATAGCGGGAGTTGCTCTGTATGTTGAAATGACTGGTGCAGCAACGGCGGCGACGGCTGGTCTTGCTGTGTATGAACCGCTGGAATATCCTCCAGATGTATATGCACCCTGAGAAGAGTAGGCTGCAGATGCTCCAGAAGAATAGGAGGAACCAGCATTGTATGAAGCAGAGGAAACTACTGGAGCTGCGCTGTAAGTAGCAACGGCAGGAGCTGCATAAGATGAGACTACAGGTGCAACAGCAACTTTTGCAACGGTGGGAGCGACATATGGTACAGGTCTTACGGCGATGGCAGGATTGACGACAGCGGCAGGTCTACCATATGCGGAATAACCGGAAGCTTGGGAATAACCACCTTGGGAAGAATAACCGGACTGGTATCCGGCGCCAAGAGAAGAGGAGTGCACTTGAATTGCTGGTACAGCAGCAGCAACATGACCTGTGGTAATAGTTGGCACAGCAGCGGCTACGTTGATGGTTGATGAGTATCTTGCAGGGGCGGCCTTGTAGTAAGAAGCAATGGAGTTGCCAGACGAGTAGCCGGAGGACAAGCGACCAGCAGAGTAGCCGGCAGACCCACTTGAAAGGACTGGTGCAGCGTAAGTAGCCACCGCAGGAGCAGCATAAGTGGTGGTCACTGCTGGAGTAACGGCGTAGCTAGCCACAGCGGGCCTAGCCGCAGCATATCCACTTGACCCAGAGTATCCTCCGCTAGAATATCCACCGCTTGAGTAACCTCCACTGGAATAACCACCGCTGGAATATCCACCGCTGGCGTATCCTCCGCTGGAGTATCCACTGGCAACTGGTGCTGAGTATCCTTGCGATGCTCCTGAAACGCAGTAATAAAAATATTTTAGTTTATATACATTACAATGGTCTAAATAACGTTTATCATCATGAATATTATTATTTGTTATTTGAATTGCTAACTGAAATGTATTCAAGTTTTCGTATCGTGCAAGAAAGACTGTGTTAGTAGAATGATTCATATTTATTTTATTTTATTTTCATAGGTTTTATACACTAACAATTCGAACAGTTGTCAGATAGACTGTATAAGAAGAGGGATATTGATGTTCTCGCACGATCTTTTTACTTTTTATTATCAGTTTAAAACGCAGTATCAGTAAAAATAAAACTTATTATTGGAGCAAACTCGAGAGATCTTTTTGTCTATATAGATTGACAGTAATTTTATTGAATGTAAATGGCACATACGTGAGTCAGAGTCCCCCATTGTTATGTTGTAAAATAAAATAAATTTTAAAGCATCAGTTTAGAACAAACAGTACTTGAAATCCATTAGTAGCCTGAAAAGAACCATTTGGCTAATGATCTGTTGGAGCTAATAAGGTCGTAAAGCTGGAGCATTTTAGGGAAAGGTCTGTAGAAGTAACTGTTGATAAAATCAAGAGGGAGAGTGTTTGGATAAAGAGACCTTCACTTCGGCTAGGACTCGCGGCAACCTTGAGCTGTAGAGCTAGCGGCCTTGGCTAGGACGGTCTTTGACCTAACAGGCTCTTTATCTGCTCCAGCGGATTTGTTTAGAGATTTGATCAAATATATATAAAAAAAACTATATATTATTTTTAAATCTGTTCGAGAAATCGCAACGCGTGAATGAACCAATAAAACGGAGGGTATTTGTGATTGTCACGTATCTGCATGTCATTTTATTGATTGTTTTTTTAAACAGTTGTGAGGTGTTACTAATTCGCACATTGAGCCGTTATTTTGATTTTCAAAATTTCATTTACTCTTTATATACGGGCAGAGAGCCTATGAAGTCTCAATCATGACTTGCACATTGAACATACTGCGTGAAAAACTCTTTGCTACGATACAATTTTATTTGATTTCTTCGTTAAGAAGAATGAAATGGGGATTATTTCTGATACAATCAGGTCTTAACGAGGCTAAGTGCTTGTCTGTCGGAAACCGTTGCCTTGCGGTCGACAAAAAGTTGATATATCATCTCTCATAACTGATATGAAGTTCATAAACTTCAATAATGTTCATTAATATATTTTCAGAATTTTCTCGGTATTATAAAGTAGACTGATTTATATCTTTTTATATTTCATAGTATATTAAACACACGATTGTTAAATGTATAAAAGATAAACAATACGTTACAAAAAAACTGATTAATATTATTAAGAGATTGTTAAAACATATTATTGGACTATATATTGAGAACCCTCGTGCATTTCCGGGCATGTTGAAGAGGTAGAACTTAAATTACTTTCGCTTGAACTTTGTGTTGTTATTTCTTTACATATGGATATATTTTCGTATTGGTATAAGTTGATTTGGACAATCCATCTTGTTAATATTAGGATCGCATTCACCATGGTGCTTTTTTAAAGATTTTTTTGTCTTTAACGTGTCTTCTATTACCAAAGTTATCTTACTACCCCGCTATCCAATATCTTAAATTGTCAAATAATATTAATAGTTTTCTATGCCCCCTGGTTTTTTTTCTCTGCGTTTTAAAAGAAAATGACTGAGTTCCTTTCACAGAAAATTTTTATTGCGTTGCAACATGAAGTCGTAATTAGCAAATCCTATCATCCACTTTAATAGAAAATGACATATCTTCGAAAATCAAAATGTTGTGTATGTTTAAAAAAAATGGTTAAACAACTTTAAGCTAAACTTTAAATTGTTGCTATTCAGAGTAGTTTACATGTTTTAACCACATTAAACTGCAACCCACAATATTGAGAGCTAATGTCGACCTAATAATTTTTTTAAAGTTGAAGTCAGATCAATTGGTGCAATGTTCATTAGGGTTCAGCTCTTATTATGTTATAGCCTTCTAAAGTCTGAAACTACCGGTCATTTTTTAAACAGAAAGTAAGACTTGGAACCGAGCAACTTTATTTTATCTCTACTGTTCGGTGCCGGACTCAGATGGTCTGCATGTTTCTGTTTTACGTGGCCTGCTCCAAGGTCAGCGTTTCTCCGGTAATACTGCGAACCATGCCCAGTGTTACAATTTCTGCAGAAAGTGGGTAACTACCTGATTCAAAAATAAGTCTTTTTTATGTAAATATTCAGCACTCACCAACAGAGTAAGCAGGCTGAGCTTGGCCTGAATATCCGGATGATGCTCCGTAGCCACCGCCTCCATGTCCATAAAGACAACGAGCGTGGTATTCGTATTCAGGATCGTGGAAAGCTGAAATTCCGGCAGCTAAGAAGCAGACCGCCAATACCTGAAACATTGGTAAAATATCATTAATAGGTTGTACAACTATGGATAATAATGTTATATATATATGGTATAATAGGATCAGCCTACATATTTCTTTAATATATGTTTCAAATAGAATAATCATTATCAGAGTTTGTTAGGGAGTGTGCGCTGATATATTTACAAACACAAAATCCCTCCTATCGTATAAAAATGATACGAAATACTAAGGGAAAAAGAAAAGGGCAACAAAAAAAGTATCAGCTAATAAATTTTTAACTTTTAGATGTTTTTTCTTTTCTACTTAATATAAATTTTTGTATACATTCTCCGACCAATTTTCTGTAGGAGCAACTATGGTGTTGTTAGGTGTCTCTTTTTTCCAAAGTATACAGACATTTTCGTTTAATAAATAAAGTGTTTCTATTTTGTTTAGTTTCATTTTTAATATTAATGTTAGCTATTGGAAATATTTGATATTTTAATTAATGGGGTCAGCTTTTTGTTTTACGTTTAATACAAGGAAAATCAATACTATAATAATGCTAAAAAACTTTCTTTTTCAAAAACCTCAATCCCCTTGAAGAGATATTGCGGTCAAGATAATTCAGGACTGATTTGTGGCTCCGGGACACTAAAAAACTGGTTGATAGCTCCTGCTACTGGAATTAATAAAAAAAAAAAATCGGAAAGCTGTAAGTGGGCAGTGTTGGATTGGGGTATTAATAATGAGCCATCGAAGAGCCGTTGAAAATTTATGGTGGACCCAGTCATTATTTAGATTCACTTCAAATTTCTTTTGCCTTGCAAGCCCGTTTGCGGGCATTACGCAAAGGATTTTACAGGCGGATCTATAATCATATATATTTATGTATATAAAAAATATTTTAATTTCAAGAAGAAATACTTTCTATTTATGACACAGGCATAAGCAAAAATTCATTTATTTCAGAATTTATCTTATTTATGGAAGATAAATCAATCCGAACGTACCCATTTATCTTTTCTTTAAGAAGAGATTATAAAACAAATATGAAAGATTCGATTTAATTATTTAAAAGTAAACTTATCTAAATATACTCAAGATAATTTAGATTTGAGAAAATATCCCGTGAGATAATATGTTCTGATGTACTGAGATGATTTTCTGGGGAGAAGCTTAAATATATTCTTATTTGAAGATTCGCAATCATTGTAATAATTTAATCAATATCACTCGATAAGGTCACTGAACAACGCATTTATCATGTTAAACTACCTAAAGAACACAATCTGGGTAAAAGGATTCCTGAACAACGCAAATCTAGAAGGTATAAACAGATATAAAAAACAACCTGAAAACTAAAGTTTATAAAATACTAAATCTTTGTTATAGTTGATAAGGTACAAATTTTAATTCTTTAATATTTCAAAACAACACGTATTAAAAAAAGACTCCACTTTCATGCGGTTTATAATTGGTATTTTCTGATAGCTTTAATACTTATAATAGCCTATGAATATCTTTTATAAGTTGATAAATGTAGATGAAAGAGAAGAAAAACAATGTTACGCTTGACTTTGTCCATTTAACCTATAATTTGTTTATTTAAATAAAAATACTAGCAATTTTCGATTTTTCTGCGTTTGTGTGAGCAGAGGTACTTACTCAAGATTTTTTTTTAAACGTTTTATTTATGGTATTTACAACTGTACTAATAAAAATACATCAAGCAAATGTTTACATAGAAATATAATCACATGTAAAGGCCTGTTGACAAACTACCTACTGGTCGCACTCTAATAATGTTTTTTTTTTTTAAATTTCTTTAGACATATAATATTCTGTCACAGTGACAATAATTATATTGATAAATGAACACATTCACACTGTATAAACAAAAAAAAAAAATAAAACTAACAAAAGTAAAACGAAGGATAAGTATTTGGATCAGGCCAAATATGGAACATTACGGTCTTTATGGATTATTTTACTAGTGACAAGAATTTTGGATTTTAGTGGTTGGATATGAGAGGAGTTCGATGGTTTAGTGAACTCTAGAAATTTAAATCCAATATTTTTAACTTGATGGGCGACCCTTTGTTCATAGAAAACATGTCCAAAGAACATTTTTACTCCACACAAATTTATAATAAGGACCCGTAGTCACCAGTACTTTTTTATCCCAAGTGCTATTTCTGCCTAACTATGCGACGTTTGAAAACATTCAAATTAGATTCTGTCGTTTTATAACTCAACTTAAATAATCTGAAGATATCATTGGATCATTGGATGAGATCTAAATATTTACTCTAAAAAATGTATCGTATAAATAATATTAACATCATCTGAGACCATAAATGATAGTATCTAATTTATATAATAGTTTCAAGTGATCATAATGTTTAATGGGAATTCGGGTTTGATGATAAATGTATCCATCCATCTTGAAGATTCATAATACTCCATGTAACATAAGATGGCCTCTTCATACGTGGTTCTTGACCCTCCTATTCCGTTTGATAAGGTGTTGGTATAGCTTTTGCTTTTATTATTGGACCGGTTAGAGGTTGCGGCCATCCGAGTCGTATTTCTCAGAGTAAAGGTTTTTTTTCCTTCACATAATATCCACAAACAACAATACTTGTGGCACTTAAAATCCATATTTGTATATAAAATTATAGATAATTTTAGCAAGTACTTGTTCGCTTTGAAAAATAATTTTGTATCTGAACGATCGTTTGTTTTAGGATTTAGGCTTTATGAAATAAAGTCACGATACATAGGAACGAAACAGTAACCATTAACGTTAATAAATCAAGAACAGTTACGCCAGTATTGCTTCTCTATATAATTTGCAATAAATATAAATAAAGCGCAGGTACAAACTACCAAACATATTGAGATAGACTTAAGAAGTTTTTCCTTCGGACAAATATTCGTTTCCTTATCTAGATCAGGTTACGGAGGAAACCAGTATTTACTTATATCACAGGCAGTGCTGGGCTAAGACATTTGGCGTCCATTACATCATGACCACTCCATCCATCCCCCAAAAAATAATTTCTCAAGCTGTAAAATATTACTTTATATTTGAGCTATATTCAGAATGTCACAAAGCCTTTTAATTCAATTACTTTCTTAAAAGGCTTTGTATGTTTCTGTAATTAACGCACATCCCAAGCGCGTCGTACTCGCTGAACTTGTGGATTTCAAAAAATGGTTTCTTAAACCAATTGAATTTTAAACTTAAATACTATAATTTTATAATCGTGCCAAGAAAATTGTGCACGACAAAAAAATAAAAGTAAAAGAGAAATCCATGATATGAACAAATAAATTAAGGCTGAAGTTTAGCCAGATACAACTTGGATTAAGAGCTCTAGAGAGTTTCTTCCGTTCACTCAATCTTATTCTTAAACCAAACTATGTTATCCAACGTACAAAGGGTAATCTGGAACCGATTAAAAACGAAATAGAAAAACTGAGAATAACACACTAATATTATTTCGATAGAACCAAATTCCGGAAACGAGTTAACCAAATGAGTGTCCTTGTAGTGAAAAGGAGGATTGAGATGAAGAAGTGTCGGAATGAGAGGAAGGCACAGCACTCTTTGAGGAAGAGAAAAGTGTGGATGAGGAGAAAACAAACGACAAAGATTAAGTGAAATTTGAGTGGTCTAGTTTTGTACATCGGTACAAACATGAGAAAAAGGGAAGTATAATTTTAGGAGCTTGATACTAAAGTATTTATGTGGATTCCTCGGTAATTAAAAAAAAAAAAATACACTCACTTTTCAGCTGCAGTTCAATTTAAAAATAAATGAAACGATTACCTCTGCCTGAATAACTACCTTTGATTTTTTTCTTTTATTTCTAGAGGTAATGTTGATAAAAAATAAATTAGTAAGAATAGCTTTTATTTACATTAACCGTAAATGATTTCAACCAATTCCAAATTGGAAGTCGAATAATAGTGGTGATGTCCCGGTCAATTTATTATTTGTGGTTCAGCAATTAATTCCAGAACAGCCGGCGCTGACCACAAGAAGGAAAAAGTAAAAATGTTTTCGCTGAGGTAGTATACTTTAAACAGTAATACGTATAACGGGAACGTTAAAGATTTGGTTAGTAGAACGGCATAATATTTAGGAATTTGCTGTCATGTCATTTTTTTAAGTAATCGGTCCTTTTGCGCTTCTAAAAAATTTTTACAAATTTAATGTCGTGTGAAACAACGAGGCAAAGCTAATTTAATTGGTTTATTTAAACTTTATTTTATGTCATAAAATCTCAAACATTAATTAAAAATATCAATCTATGTCATCACCAAAATTTAATTTTAGCTATAATTGATTTAATTTTTATAAATTATAAAAAATCGAATACTTTCTCTGGCTGCAGCTCGGTGATAGCTCTTAGCCTTGTCTTGTGATCAAATCATCAGTTACACAATCTCTAATCGATATAGTCGCTAATAAGAGAAACGCTCATAACCCCTATTGGCAGCTTATAAAGGAAAAAATCAACTTTCAAAGAAGAACGAAAGAAAAACCTGAACTACAAGGGCAAGAAAAGGAATCAGAAATACCTGATTGACGTAACAAATGCTGTACGGACCAAGTTAAGAGAAAGCAGCATTTCATTATTGGTCTGGTTGTAAATCGAATATTCTGCGGAGTTTTGCTGGTGATTTGAATTTGATGTTTCTTTCGAAACGTTTTGTTGTTAAAAACATCAATTAAATTGTTTATTTCTAAAGTGAAATAAGATCATTTTGGCACTTCTTCAGGAAATGCGAAAAAATCTGTTTTCTATTCCAATTGTGGTATCAAAACTAATATTAAAAAAAAATAAGAAATTAATTATTTAAAAAAATATTGTTGCTTAAATAGCTTCGCTTTTGGAACGAATTAAACTTCAAAGACCGTAACGGACCAAAAGAAGATTGATTTGTCTTCGATTTTGAGAGAACAAATGGTGTATGATTGGGAAAAAAATAAACAATAATATTAATATAATAATAATAAGGCTTATACC